TTTGCGGGGACGAAATATTTTCTGTCCATTCTGTGGTTTGTGGGTGGAACAGAGGCTGGATTTTGCCACAAAGCATACAAAGGTTCAAGGATAGCTTTGTTGGTGGATAAAGCTATCTTCGAGAATGCTGAGGGTTGTAATATGGTGAGCAATTTGTATTGCTTGTCCTGTATCGCTTGTAATGTAATGTCTTGTAACTGGGCTACCCATTTGAAAAGTTCCTGAGAAAGTTTCAGGTCATCTGCTGGAGGAGAAGGAGAGATGTGGAATACTGCTTCAACCTGCCTGGATCTGGGTTCATGTGAGGAATTCTCTGAATCTGACTGAGGCAAGTTGTCGTGCTCACTGGAACCCATTTGAGAAATTACTGAGGGCGGGTAAGCAGGTGAGGAGCATGCAGAGATTGTGGGTGAGCGCCTAGAGGTGTAATGTTGCTGGGATGTAGAGGCTGGGATGTGTGCCTTGAATGGTAGGTATAGGAGGACTGTTGTCGGTACCCTTGCATGTATCTCTGGGGCTCTACTGAGGCGGGAGCTGATGTGGGGGATACATCCACAGTTGGCTGGGCCAAATGGGATGTTGTTGAAGGGAGTGATCCCTGTATGAGTGCCAGGAAGCTAGTGATGGAGAAGGAGAGGAGAGCCTGCTCCTATGCCCGCTACCATAATCAGATCTTGGGGACAGCGGTGTTGGCAAGTTGGCAAGTGGGGGCCACTCTGTAAAGTGTTAGTGTGCCCCTGCGCCATGGAGCGTGGTGAGCCAGACTGAGGAGATTTTTGTAGGTGTTGTGTTTTGCGCAGCGCTTTCTTGTGCTGCAGTGCCATGGGACAGTCAAAATCACTCTGCCTGGTTAGACTGGGTGCAGAGGGAGAGCTCACCAGAGCTCATGGAAGCATATGCGGCTTATCTGAACCTGCTGCCTCAGTGGTGCCAGTTGATGTGGCAGTCTTAGTTTGTGCCTCAGCTCTCCTGGATGGCATTGACTTGCATTTCTCCGCGGTACCAGAGACTGATGGCACCGGGGAACAAGAGGCTCTAGGCAGCTTGGACAGGGAACATGCCAGGGTAGCCCTTGCAGCTTGAGAGCCTTTGCAGGGTGATGAAGCTGCCCTGCCCAAGGGCTTTTTCTGTGCCCGCATGTCCTCTGGTTTGTCCCTTGGTGACTGAAGAGACTTTTCCCAGAGAATAGTCTTGAGCCGCATTTTGTGGTCTTTTCTGGCCCTTGCCGTCATATTCAGGCAGTGAGGGCACTTCTGTGCCACATGAGACTCCCTCAGGCATTTGACACAAGAGGCACGACCATCTGACGTAGGCACTGAGTCTCTGCATAAATCACAGTTTTTGAAGCAGGGGAACTCGGCATTGTTGCGGGGAAGGAAAGCGGCCACTGCTGTGGCTGCCACTTTTTTTTTTTCCAAACAAAGTAAACATTGAACAAGGTCGAGCTAAGTTAAACTGTGAGGTAAAAACCTAAAACTAATAGAGGTATTCTGCTTTTCCTGTCAGGAAGAAGAACACTGCTCCGAACTCCATCTTCAGCCAGGGATGGTTGAAAAGGAACTGACGGGACTCGTGCCGCGTGCGCACTCCACAGGCTCTGGTGGGGGAGGAGGGCGCTGAGTGCGCAGGTGCAGCACGAGGGGCACTGCTCGCAAAAATCTCTGATCCCTAACGCAGGCATGCACCGAGACATGAGTGAAGCACCCACAGGGACACCCCTCATTGAAGAACATTAGCTTTCCATTGCAGTTTAGTTGAGCTAATTCATTTGTTCCTGTTCAAAGGAAAGAAAGAAAAAAGAAAAGAGGTCTGGAAAAAATCTGGATGAGGGAATTGCATATAGGCTTACCTGGAGACTTAGCTTTTATTTCCTTGCGAAATTTAGAGCACACGCTGTTGTAATTAGTGCAGATGTAGTGCAAGCACCAAGCTGCCAGCTGATTAGCATTGTGGAACTGCAAGCAAAGACAGTCATTTTATATTTCCTGATACTCCTGGTCATCTTGCAAAAAAGATACAAGTACCACAAGTGTGATCCCTAAATGAGTCTATTCTGCCATGTTCTCAGCATTAGGGATTATTACATAACACTCAGCAGAAACACAGCAGCTTCTTAAAGGATGCTGCATAACGCAGATTCGGAGTTACTGTTTCTTTTACACAAAAATACACTGGTGCTCTCAGGCTTTGTCTACGGTAACACTTCCCCTCCCCATTGATCTACGCTATGCAATTTCAGCTAAGCAAATAGTGTAGATGAAGTCAACAAATTTACCGTGGTACCTTCCATCATCCCAGCCAGAGCTTTGTCAAGCCAGAACTTAAAAATATCTAGGAATGGAGTGCTTCACCATTCCAGTACTTCACCATCCTCCTAGTAAAATAGTTTTTCCTGATATCCAACCTTGACCTCCTCCACCGCAACTTGAGACCATTGCTCCTTGTTCCACCACTGAGAATAGCCTCTCTCCATCCTATTTGGAATCCTCCTTCAGGTAGTTAAAGGCTCAAATCCCTCCTTACTCTTCTCTTCTGTAGACTAAATAAGTCCAAATCCTACAGCTTCTTCTCGTAAGTCATGTGCTCCAGCCACCTAATAATTTTGGTTGACCTCCACTGGACTTTCCCCATGCTTTCACATCCTTTTTGTAGTGGGGGGCCCAGAATTGACCTCACTAGTGCCGAGGTCTATTCACTTCTAGAGATCTGCTGGCAATGCTTTTCTTAGCCTTCTTGGCTAGAAGGGCACACAATTGACTCATATCCAGCTTCTTATCCACTGTAATCCACAGGTCCTTTTCCAAAGAACTGCTGCTTAGCCAGTTGGTCCCCAGCCTGTAACACTGCTTGGAATTCTTCTGTCCCAGGTGGAGGACTCTGCACTTGTCCTTGTTGAACCTCATCAGATTTCTTTTGGCCCAATCCTCCAATTTGTCTAGGTCACTCAGGACCCTATCCCTGCCTTTCAATGTATATCTACCTCTGCCCCCAGCTTAGTGTGATCCGCAAACTTGATGAGGGTGCAATCCATCCCCTCACCAACATCGGCAGGGGCTATTCTCCTGTAAATTCTGACTACTCCTCTCATCCTGGTGGAGTACTAGTGTTGATGGGAGAGTGCTCGGAGATCTATTTATTGCATCTAAGCAGACGCTATAAATTAACCACTGGTGGACCAATTGCTGCAGTGTTGATTCACTGAGCAGTGGAGACAGGGCCTCAGTGGCCAAAGTGGGATTGTCAGTAGCAGTAGCTGAGTCAGGGTTACAGTTGTTATTGCAATGGGTCAAGGCCCTCAGCATCTAGGAGGAGGCACTTAGTATCTCCTATGACCGGCGATCTTCTAATGGAGATCCTATGCACCTAAATCTAGGTTTGCAGCAGCCACACAACTCTGGAAGATTTAACAAATCTTAACCTGTGTCAAGGTGAAAATAACTCAAATTTCTTACAAGTACTGTTGTATTACACTCCCCGGGGGGACTCAGGGCAGAAGGTTCTGCGGGAGGTGCAATGCAACAGTACCTGTAAGAAATTTAAGTGTGGGGTGGAGTGGTGGGCTCAGGCCAGGTGACTGGAGTTGCGGGGAGGGCTCAGGGAAAGGGATTGGGGATGTGAGGTGCACAGACGTAAAGATAAGTTTTGGGAGCAGGAGTTTGGGATGAGTGGGACCAAGGGCAAAAGTGTGGGGGTGTAGGAGTCAGGACAGGAGGCTGGGTGCATGGGGGTTTCAGGGTAGGAATTTGGGGTGGGCGGACTTGGGGCTAGGAGTGTGGCTAGGCCACCATGCTGCCCAGCTGCCAGATTGGCAGGGCTTGCTGGGGACCGTGCTGCCCAGCTGCTGGATTGCCAGGGTTGGCCGGGGACCATGCTGCCTGGCTGCCTGAGGCGGAAGCTGGGTGTGCTGTGGCTGCTGGAACCTTGCCTCCCTGCCCCCATCTGTCCAGTGCTGGAGCCAAGGGCCATGGGGAGGCAGTAGTTGGGGCTCCCATGGGGAAAGAGGGCCAGTAAGAGGGCCAGAAAGGGAGGAATGGGTAACCCATGCTCAGCACTGGCATTGGAACCATACCCATGTATAGTGTCTGGCAACAGCCAGAACCCTGCCCCCAGCTGGCTACTCTCTTACCACTGTACTACACGAGGGCACTCTGGCTTAGTTATTACAGCAAAGGTGAAAGTAACACCCCATGTATGTGTTCTCAATGAAAGAGCTTACAGCTTTGTTGAAAGCACTGTACACAACCCGGGTCAGGCAATCTGCGCTCGAGAAAGTACAGCAGTAGCAGGAGTTAGATTGGTAAGGTATGTGCATCTATTTGGCATTCTGATTACCAGTCTGATAACAGAAGAGGTCATAAATGCTTCATAATGAAGTCTGGCTCTGGACACAGATCGAATCATTACAGGGTTTGAACTTATTACCCCTATAACCAATCACCACTCCAAGAACCCCCATAATGTTGCAGAACTAGCATTCTTTTCTTGGAAGAGGTGCAGAACTGGGTTAGCAAAAGCACAACGGCTGTGTCTAGACTGGCAAGTTTTTCTGCAAAAGCAGCTGCTTTTGCGGAAAAACTTGCCAGCTGTCTACTGTGGCCGCTTGAATTTCCGCAAGATCACTGACTTTCTGCTGTCTGAAATCAGTGCATCTTGCGGAAATACTATGCTGCTCCCGTTCGGGCAAAAGTCCCTTTTGCGCAAAAGGGCCAGTGTAGACAGCTCAGATTTGTTTTGTGCAAAAAAGACCCGATCGCGAAAATGGCGATCGGGGCTTTTTTGCACAAAAGCGCGTCTAGATTGGAACGGACACTTTTCCGCAAAAAGTGCTTTTGCGGAAAAGCGTCTGTGCCACTCTAGACGCTCTTTTCCGCAAATGCTTTTAACGGAAAAGCATTCATACTACTTCATTCATAGCAGCTTAATGGAGAAAAGACTTAAAGTGCACACAGGCACAGAATAGTGTGAGACAGCTAAAGAGCTTTACTTTGTGAGATTTCAGGGCATTAGACAAAAGAATGGACAAATTATATTCTGCCACCTCATGAGGCTTCACCACATGTAAAAAGTGAAATAGGGATTTGATAGACACAGAGCTAAGCTTCAAGAGACTGATTTCTCAACTGATGTGGAGAAGGCAAATCTGTTCTATAAAGGACATTAAACATTTTAAAAGATATAGTGTTATGACCACAGATATTAAGTTTTAAAAATTAAGATGCAGAAGCCCGAGTATAGTATGATAATTGTGGCCCCTCAATTCTTCTCAGTGGAAACAAGGAATCTTTTGTTTGAAAGACTTTATTTATGTAGTTAGAATGCTCAACACCATGATTTTTCATAGTTCTGCAGTTGGGTAGAGTATCTTTAAAAAGATTTAAAAAAATCAGTCAGTACTAACCTGGGCCCATTCCAAATAGGATAGTACTTCGCCATCTACGCCAATGCCATTCCCTGAGGCTTTGGTCAGCTCCTGCACAGCATGCTGCTCTGTTAAAGTAGAAAACTAGTAATTCACACTGTAAATACATACTTCAGGGTAACTTTATAAATGCAGTTCTCTTAGGGAACCAAGAACCACAGAATTTGTGTGTTATCATGAAAGAGTAATACAGAAAACTACTGCACTGTTGCACTAGCAGTAGATCCATTCAGATTTCTTTTTATAGAGCATCTAAGCAATTGTAGCCCCATTATGGTCTCTGGAGTTGTCCTTATACATTTAGGAACAGATCCCCGGCTAACAGAGGTAGGATAATTTATACTAGCTAAGGATCTGCCCCTTATGTGTGAATATGTCCCTTTGTGCACACAGATCTTCAGGTGCTTACATTTTTGCTGTTATCACTCCTGATTCCCTAGTAGTTATAACCTTTGTCTTCTGCACAAATGATACCTCAGCACAGTTCAGTTTCAGCCTTCTCAGGAGTGGATGATCTTCTGGTTTCCCCCTTAGGACTGCTCAGCCCCCAGAATATTCCCTCTCCAGAGAGCCTTGTCCATACTGGCATGTTTTGTCACCCCAAGCTGCCTTTTGTTGACAAAAGAGTGAGCATACACACTACAGTGAACTTTTGTGAGGGGGGGGGGGTATCACACCCAGTTTTGGCAACAAACAAATGAAAAAACTTCCACCTGAGATTTTTGTCTCTTCCCCTCCCTTTATTGTTGACAAAGAGCAAGTGTGGACTCTGTTGTTTGTTTTGTTGAGAGAATTGGTTTCTGCCAGTATCCCACAATGCCTGCATTGTGCTCAGTGTTTTGTGATCTCTGCTGCTCTCCAGGCTTGTGTTTCTCCTCTTTCAAAGCTCTTGGAAGTATCTGAAAGCTGAGTGAGCTGCTCCATTTGGGGAACAAGGAAAAAGAATGCTCCTGTTTTTCCCTGCAAGAAACATAGCAGAAGACTGCTGCTGCAGCAAGAGGGCTGGAGAGACAACTGTGATGCTCTGACATTGCTGAGCAGGGAGCACTCACAGAGCTACTCATGATGCTGTTCCCAGCAGCAAAGAATTCTGTGGGAGAACTTGGAGAGGATCTCATGAAACACAGGGATCAGCCCTTCCTTCCCACAACACTGCACTATGGGATGCTTACCCACATTGCTTTGCTCTCTGTTGACAGGGGAGCTAGCCATGTGGCTATGAAATGTTGACAGTGGGAGGCAGAAAAACCAGTTTGACTGTTTTTCACTTTTGCATGTCAACAGCACTTTTGTCACCAAACTTTCCCAGGGAAAACACAGTCTGAGACCACATCACCATCACCTGTTACCCATGAGAGGCATCTTGGCTTTAGAAGAGGGGGTAGGTACAGCTGGCGGTGTTCTTGGCAGATGCCAGCAGACACTGCAGAGAGTAAGAAAGCTCCTGCAAGCTGTGAATCAGCCAGGGAAAGGTTTGTGGAAAAGGCCATACTCCAAGTAAGAAGTGTCAGGGAAAAGCAAGAATACGGTCCCTCAGAAGGAGGGCATGTGCCCAGCATGGGACTGGGTTGAAAGAAAGGAACTTTAAAGAGAGGACAGACATTCCAGGAGAAAGGGCTGGTCTCCAATGAAACCACGATAACTAAGTTTGAGTTCTGTTTTGAGGACCCAGAAGGGGATTGGATTGACTATCTCCAAAATGTGGACTTCTAAAAGGAGCCTGAGTGAAGTGAGAACTGAGACAGGCCTCAGAAGAACCATACTTACTCAGAAGGGGTGCAACACAGCAGGTATTCCTTTTCACAAAATGTTAGAGGCACAGATAGCCTGATGCACTCATAGAAATGGGACCAAAAGTAGTCTGTTTCACTAAATAAGACAGAATAAGATGTTCTTCCCATTAAAAGCATATCTGTTCTAGAAAAGGTGAGAAGGATATCTGTAGGAAACTTTTGTAGAAGGGCCTAAATTAGTTCTGTAATGCTGTCAACAATTGAATGTCTTGTTGCACAACTCAAAGCAATGGAAACGCAGGGCTCATGGCACTCAAGGAAATGACTAAAATTTATCTTGTGAATTTGTATCACTTGATCTTCCCATCTCTAAAAATTTCCACCCTCTTTTGTTATGATACTAGGAAACAGAAAAAAAATTGCATAAGGATTTAGTATTAAAGTATCCCAGGCTATAATTTCCCTGTAAAAAAGACAGAAAAGTTGATACTCTTGAAATTATGCATGTGGAGCTCCTACACTTACAACAGAATAACTAATTGACTCTAGCTTGTGCAGTAAAAATAGATCTGGACAATACTTCTACAAAGTGTTTGAATCATATCAATTTTAAATTATTTCGGTTACTGTGCTCTCTAAATGGAACTTATCATGGAAAGCCTGGTTCATTATAATGAAAACCGTAGTGTCGCTACTGTTTTGCTCTAAATTAAGAATAGCTGAAGGGACTGGAGACATAATATTAATGCTGGAAAAAAAGGCTTTCACTTCCTATTTCTAAAGTATGGAACATTTTAAAAGGACTTCATTAATTTAGCATATGTCCTAGAGAGAGGAAAGAAAAAGGCAAATACATTATTTCTAAGTGAAAATTCAATATTGTAATACAATTTGGCTTTATATAAAGGAATGGCATTTCTTTCCCTCATGGCAAAATAAGTTGTGTGCGCTCAAAAATCAATAAGAAGTAATAATACAGCAATCAATGAAGGCATTGCATCTGCAAAGAGTGAGAATCCTTACCTGCCAATGCAACCAAGTGTGGGAGGCAAAATCTGTTTGCCAGTGCAATTAATTCAAGCATGTCCAACTCCTGACTCGATGACAATTGTTTGGTATACAAATAATCCAGAATAGCCTGCATAGAAGTCTTGTTTATGTTGGGAAGAACAACCTGTAAAAGGTATTTTAAAGAATGTTCTCTGATAAAAGGTATGTATTCAAGCACTTAATGAACATGAGCTATATACTTTCTCTTCCATCTTGCTATCCCTTTCGCTTCTGCCATCAGGTAATGTTTTAGAAATATAGTAACATATTAAAGAGACTCCTTATTAAATCTATACATCTCAAGAGCTAGCAACAAATCTGTCATATTCTAGTTATGCAAGTACAACAGACCCGTACCAGGAATTTCTGGGGGAGGCGGGGTGCTTTTTTTTGTAAATGTGGAATGCAATTTTTTAAATATAAAGGAGTTCAAAACAGTCATGCTACGATCATGTGTAAGAGAGGTTAATAAAAATGTGAGTGGAAACAGTGATTGGTAAAATGATTTTGTTATAACATACTAAACATTTATACAGTAATAAAGGTTTTATGGAAATTATCTTCTGGGATCATGGTGGGCAGCTTAGCCACCATAGCCCACGCTCCCTCAGCTGCCTCTCCTGCTGCTGATCTACCTGTTTAGTGAGGTCAGTGCTGGGTGAGGTGGGCAGAGCTTCCGGCCAGTGGGGCTGGGTCCGGGTTGCTTCTTGAGGGTGTGGGGCACCGTTCCTCCAACTCTGACACTTTGCCACCAGCCCCGCCTGCCCACCACCCCAGAACACAGCACTCTCCCATCTCCCTAACACAGTGGTTCTCAAACTTTTTGGCCCATGGCCCATCTAGCTCAATGCAAATCTTTCCATGGATCACCAACTGCTAATGGAAACTCACTGTTAATTACATAATTATGCCTGAGCCATTCTGCTAGTGCTGCAGCTAGGGAGAATGTTTTAATTTAACAGTAAGAAAGTATTAATTTAAATTATTGAACAGACCAAGCACTTTAACTTTCTCATGTTTGAAGTTTATCAAACTTCATTTTAAATAAAGTAAAGTATTAATTTATGTCCAACACAAAAGGTTCCTATGGTTTTTTAATTCCCTATGGCAGGGGTGGGGAACCTTTTTTGGGTTGGGGTGGGGGAGACTGACTCTCAGAAAAATCAGCTGGGCACCACCCAACTGAGAAGCAAACCAAAACTAAACAACCTCCAAAAAACCCCAACTCTCACTGATGTGGCCCATGAGACACTTCACTCCTCTGAGGCTTCAGTTCCCTGGGGAAAGGGGAGGACAGGGAGTACTGAGGCTCAGGGCTTCCTATAGAATCATAGGGTTGGAAGAGACCTCAGGAGGTCATCGAGTCCAATCCCCTGGACAAAGCAGCACCAACTCCAGATTTACTCTTCTGGGGTTCTAGTGGACTTTGTGAATCTCCCTAAGTTCTGGGGTTGGAACAAAAATGTGGGGGTTCAGTGTGTGGGACAGGGCTGCCAGCAAGAGGAATGGGGATGCAGAAGGGGGGGGGGAGAATGCAAGGTCTGAATGGGAGGTAGGGTGTCTGGCCAGGGGAGAGGGTGCAGGAGCAAGGGAGGGTGCAGGAGCAGGCTGGGAGTAGGATGTCTGTCCGGGGGAAGGGGCAGGCTTACTTGCTTTCGCACCCTGCACCAGTTCCAGGCACAGCCTCCCGCTGCTTCCATCAACCAGCTGGGGGAGAGAGAGGGGGAGCGCTTCTTTCCTGTGAGCCAGATTGCGCAGTGAGGCTCAAGGTTCTTTCTCCCCCGGTACCCACTGTCAACGCTGGCATGCCAACTTCCTGGGGGGAGGGCGAGCCTGGAGCGTCAGCATGGGTGCCCTGTTGCAGAGGAGGGGAACCATGGGGGTGCATTTGCACCCTTCACACCTCCCCACCCTGCGTAGGGGCATGTACAACAAGTCAGATCCTCAGCTGGTTTAAATGTATTCAGCTCTATTGCAATCCATGTAAGTGCAGTGTAAGTTCTACCAGCAGATGATCTGACCCACACGTCTGAAAAGTGGGATTGTCTGAAGATCAATGGCTGGTATGGTAATATTCCAAGATCATGAATAAATCAAATACTTTTTCTTTATAAACAGTGAAAATGTCATTGCTGTTTTGAATAATATTTGGAATACAAGGATTGTGTATGTCTTAGAACAAGTCAAGTGTTCACCTGCAGTCAATAGGATTTTTTCAAATATGTCCCAGAACTGCATCCCCACTGTCCACTGTGAAAACATATTCACCTTCAATAAGGAACCCTTTTCAATAGCAATCAGATAACGGCACTAAGACAAGAAATGCTACTGCTTTGGGCAAAGATATTTTGAGGAACAGTCAGTAAGATAACGAAGTAGAAAAATCAGTAAAACAAAAAATAGTTCCAAACATAACTTAAATAATATACTTCCATCTGATTGATTAGAAGTGATCCTGACTTACGATCATATTTGTATCAACACTGATTGAAGCTTTACATCGTTTTCTCCTAAGTCAGTGGTTTTCAAACTATTTTTCTCATAACCCAGTTGATTAAAATTGTTGATGCCGTGACCCAATGTAATTTAACTAGGGTGTGGGCTCCGGGGTGGGGCTGAGGAGGATAGCTGTGGGATGTAGAAAGGGGTTCTGGCTTTGGAGGGGGTCTTGGCTGGGACAGGAGGGGCTTACCTTGAGCAGCTCCCAGTCAGTAGTGCAACAGGAGTGCTAAGACAGTTCCTGCCTCTCCTGGCACTGCATACCATGTTGCACCCCAGAAGCAGCCAGCAGCAGGTTCTCAGCCAATGGGAGTACAGAGCTAGTGCTCATGGTAAGGACAGTGCATGGAGCCCTGTGCTTTCCCCGCACCCCCAACTTCCCACACATACACATAAGAGCCAGACCGGCTGCTGGCCACTTCTGGGGCACACCACAATCTGTGGTGCCAGGACAGGCAGGAAGCCAAAGTTAGCACTGGTCACCTGAACTGTCCTAAGTCATATACACCAAGGCACTCAATTCTGGTTAGCCTAAAAGATGGAGAAAACCACACAGCAGCCTAATAAGTTAATCCTTTATGGCTTGGAACACTGGTCAGTATTAGTTCAATCGTGTGCTTAATATAAATGCTACTGCTCTAAAAACAATTAAGAAAAGATTCTTCTACCACTAATGTTTTCTCATTACCTAGATGTATTGTTTTTTCTACAGTGATTGCTTTCAATTGTTCTAATTTACATCTCCATTGCTTTAAACACTTTCAGTTAATTAGTCATGATGAAAGCAGAGAACAGCAGAGCTGTGGCTGATGCAGTACTGATGAATGTAGCACTCAAAAAGGAAGAAAGGAAAAAAGAAAGTCTGTCTCCTCCCCCAATTAACATAAACATAAGCTGGAATTTTTAAAGGCTTTAAGTAATTTGGACGTTTAATTCCCTAACAAGTCAAGGGAAGTTGGGTGCCTAATTCCCTTAGGGTATGTCTTCACTTGCCATGTTGGAGGTTGACTTTCTGACATTTGATTTAGCAGATCTGGTTAAGACTTGTAAATTGAACACTGAGGGCACCTCCAACATACACCTGTACTCCTCACAGGTCAAAGATTTTCACAAAATGATTAAGTGATTTTGGGCACCTCAATTTTAAAGAGCCCAACTTGCAACACTTTTAAGCGGACTGGTTTTCAGAAGATGAGTGCTGAGCATTTTCTGAAATTCAGGTAACTTTAAGGGTGACATTAGGCAACCAAAATGACATCATATATATAGTAACCCAGTATCTGAGAGTCTGTAACACCGAAATGCTGGCTGTTCCCTCTGGGGGGGGGGGGGCGCTGTTGCCTGAAATGCTGGCTGTTCCCTCTGGGCGGCGCTGTTGCTGAAATTCTGGCTGTTCTCTCTGGGCGGCCCGTGCTGCATGGGGAGTGCGGGGCCCAAACGGCCGCTTGCGCTGCTTGCTCCCTCACGGCGGCCTGGCTGAGTGGCGCAGAAGTCATCCGAGTGCCATGGCGGGAGGTGAAGGGGGGCGGGGCGATGACATGCGGCATGACAGCGGCTC